TCCATATGGTGTGATAGGTGATGCACCATCCTCCTTGGTCGCATCACGRCACTTCACTCTCGGCCCTTGACATGGCCCGATGGGCGACATATGCTTGTCGCTGACACTTGCACACTACGTGGGCGTCACAACCTACTCTCTACTAGTATGGTTGTGACAAGAGGCGCACACAAGGAGGCGGCATGCCATGTCTTGCCTTTGGGGGACCACCAACATTGTCCCTCCCCATTTATATGCTGTAGATGGGGGGCGTGGCGACACCTTAGACAATTCTTTGTGGCATATCGCAGCACCCTACATGCTGGCTATCCTTCGATATCTCATCCAAGTGCGCTCAGCCCCCGAAACCAATGCTCTCTATCTCTAATAGTAATTCTTTAACCATACTCACATAGTTGAATGAGACTTACATTGCAGTGACATCTCAATTCTACCTGATAACATATTTTATTTAATTATTATATTATTCCGTTGTTAGCTATTTAATAGACGAATAACATGACTTTATATATGCGTCTATTAAAATATTGATATGGGTACATATTGAAGCGACATTTAAGTTGTGGAGTAAAGTTATCCTTTAGAAGGGACAAATTTTTTATTCAATTTTTTTTAATATAATAAGTATGATTTAGATGATGAAAAAGTAAAAAGATGAAAATTTATAATTCCTCCTCCAAAWTTCCAAGTGATTGGTATAAATTTTGAGTCTTATTCTCTTGTTTATCTTTTTTCTTTTTTAAAATTTCACCAAGTATTAGAAAATGKAAGTATATCATCAATCAATTTTATTACTGAGATAACTAAGTTTAAAGTGTTAAAATATAAATGATGAGATTAAATTTTTTAAATAATGAATAATAAATAATAAAAGCGAGCGACCCGGCCACCTCATGCATGTGTCCATGCCGCTGTGAGCTGCACATGCATGACCCACCATCCTCCACATTTATTTATTTATTTATTTCTATTTTTCTTTCTGGCTTCCCTTTTTCAATCATTGCCGACAAAATATGATTCGATGAAAGTTGAAATTCGAGTTTGTTCTTTTTTCTTTTTTTTTTCCCTCATTTCTTCCAAACATCCTTCTTTTGTTTTATCTATTATGCATGTTTTTATTTTAAAATTATATTTTAATATTAGGATTCGAATTGATTTAGCATTTCGGAGCCATATAGTTTTATTTTCTTTTTTCTCATTTTTTAAATTGTGAAAAATCATTGACTTTTAATAAGATGTTTTTTTCCCTTTTCTTCTGTTAGTAGTTTATAGCATGCGGTATTTTAAATCCAATATATTTCACTATATTATCAAATCGACAGGAATTTCTTAGATATTGTTAGATTTTTTGGAAAAATATTAAAAGAGCAAATATCCACGCACACTGAATTTAATGACTTTTGGTTTTATTCCTTTCTAATTCTGAATGGCATATAAAGCTGAAAGAGTATTTTAATTTATGTAATTACAGGTCGAAAACAAAATTATGTGTGATTCTAATATTTTTCGCATAATAAAATTTTCTTTTTGGTGGACTGTAGTTCTTTCTTTCATTTTGGAGTTTCCATACACATTCTTATGTTTTTTTTTTTAATTTTCTTTTAACTTCTCGATTATTTTTTAGTTATTCCTACAGCAGAAATGAGATATTGTTTTCCAACAGATATATAGATGGCTGTAACAAAAAGTTTGCTGCAGTACCTAACTTAATATCTTTGTGCTAGTTAA